GTGAAAGGGTCATTTGACCCCCAAAGGGGTCTCGACCCACAGGTTGAGAACTGCTGCTCCAAAAGTAATTCTGGCTCTGTATTTCGGTCACCTGTTTGAATCACTTTGTCTTTATTCATTTGAACGGAAGTTGTCTGCTGTCTCTGAAACACTGTGATGGTGTTGTATTCTTATTTAATTGGTTATTTTATGTTTTACCCAGGTCTGTGTGTGTGGGTGTGCTTGATTTTGCTTTGCTATACTGAGAAAGTGGGGCAGATATGCTCTTCTGCTTACTAACTTGGCAGCACTTGGGTTCTCATCACTCTTCTCCGGGTAGGTGTGATACAGAATGGAATGGTGTGCATGGATCTGTTAGCTGTTCATACACAGCTAGTAACAGTGGATTTGGCCATTATCTGTCATTGATCAGGTGATGCACCAGCAAGTGGTGGCCCTCCTGCAGTGTGTGGAGCTCACTCACTCTTCCCCACTGTCACTGAGTTGAGTCCAACGCACAGTGACCCCGTCGGAGAGGGAAGAACTGGCCCTGTGACTCACTTTCATGGGAGTAGAAAGCATCATCGTTCTCCATCAGAGTGGCTGGTGATTTTGAACTGATGGCCTTGCATAACTCACTGTACCACCAGGGCGCCTTTGTGTGGGGCTATAGGAGGTGTGAATATGGTTGAGCATTGTGAGCATGGTTGCTATTGAAGTGGGTGCTGCTGTGATCCTGGGTAAGTAGAGCTGATTATCATGCGGCTGTCCCGATTGGAATTCTGCTTATAAAAATTCAAAATGACCATACTATGTCAGGTCAGGAGCAACATACTGTTCCAGACATCTTCTTGTTTGTTGTTTCTGTTCAGTTTCTGCTTCTAGCTGGAATTTGAGCCACTTCATTACCCTTTTCTTTGATGCTCAGGATTCCAGGATTATTATCTATTTCACTTGATACCTGTTATAGAGTCTGAGAGCCCATTTACCTACTTTGCTTTTTTTGCAAGAAGATTCCCCCAGACAAATAGCTGTGAGTTTCAAAATTATTATTAATTGCAAAATATTAACTTCCTCGGCATCTGATAGTTTAGATCAGGAGTCAAAACCTGAAGCTTCCTGTGCTTACAGTCTGAGCTAAAATTGTTGTGTTTTTTAAAAATTTTAAATAGATGAGAAAAGTAAAAAGTAATAATATGACATGACATGCAAACATTATATAAAATACAGATTTCAGGTCCAAAAAGAAAATTTTATTGGAATGCCCATACATTAATCTATTTCCCCTGACTGATTGCATTACAATAGCATTCAGTAGTTACAACAGAGAATCAATGGCCTGCAAAGCCAAAAATATTTATTATCTGGGCCTTTGTTGACCTCTGTTTTATATAGATCCTACTAATCATGAAGGCCTGGTGGCACTGTCTGGTAAGCAGGGGACTGCTAACTACAAGATCAGTGATTCAAACCCACCAGTCACGCCGCAGGAGAGAGGCGAGGCTATCTGCTCCCACGAAGATTTACAGCAGGGGTGCTCAATACGTCAATTGGGATCTACTAGTCGATCACAAATGTAGTGTGGGTAGATCGCATTAAAAAAAGACGTAAGTCTATCATCAATCCTATCACTTTATTGATATGCAGTCCAGCCAATCAGAAGCAATCTTAGGTGTCAAATGCATGTGCAAACAACTGTGCTAAGTGCTGCAAAACTGACAAGCTATCACCAATTTTTAGACCTTGTTTTTTTTTCTCTTAAATGTAAGAAAGGGTATTAAAATGAGTGGTGGAGCTGGACCAAGTAAGAAGACAAAAACAACGTATACGGAATGGGAGATTTTGACACTACAAGCCGACATTCAGCTGAAGTCCAGAGCGCA